TCCTGCAGCCCGTAGCTCGGAGGTATCTGAATTATCTAGTTGCAAGTTATCTGAGAGTGTGACCGCGGCTTTACTCAAGGGAATGCACTACAAGTCGAATTCTTGAAAATCTTCTTTGGAGGCGAAGTTGATTACATCATTTTATTCGAAATACTATTCCTAGTCACATCATCTCACTTATTGACCTTCATAAGAGGAAGACGATGTACTTACAGTTGGGCTATCTATGAACTAACATTCTCATGCTGGAGGAGAGTGAGAAAGAAGAAAGGAATATGTAACGAGAGACATCGCTCGACCAAGCCGCACAATTGCCTTTTATTTCGCACGCCCTGAAAGCGATTCAAGGCATTCGCATGGGAACCGATGGAAATGCAGATACATATGCTGCAGCTGCATATGCGTGCTTCATCACGTAGTGACTTTTGCTACGTACGCAAAAATATAGGTAGACGAGAGGCTAGAGCCTGCAGTGGAACGGAAGAGACATAAGAAGAATTTCACGGATGGAAATATACGAAAAAGGAAAGAAGGAAGAAACCTCTTTAAAGCAACAGTTCAGGGAGGGTCCGAAAATTTCAATGCCACTACTACTGAGGGATACACGAGCCCTAGTGAAGAACATATGCAGTGGAAATAATAAACGAACTTACCTCAGAAACTCAAAAACAGGGTGGAAAGTCCCTCAAACATGGGTGTTCTTGGGGATTTCCCCAATCCCGCCCCCTTGCCGGCCGTCATTGGACGCGTCGGCAATCGTGCTCGTTTTGGGACCACAGGGAAAATTGATTGAAAAATGGAGCGCGTTTACAGCGGGCACGTTCAGACAACTCGTCCAACGTGCGTCTTTATCCATTGCTGAGCGGCAGAGGGAGAGTACCTGTCTAAGACCCTCCCCGACGTTTTTTTCCAGTTTTTCATACATTAATCGTCTGGTTTTCATCTACAACTTCATTATTGGTGGTTTTTTCCCGCGAAACCGTTCCTGAACTGTTGCTTTAAGTTGAAACGAAAGAAGAGCAAAGGAAGGGGACATAGATAGAGAAACTATGAAAGAACAATGTTAGACACCTACATGCAGAGTGACAGATTGTAAGAAGTGGCAATAAAGAGACAGGGCGGTCACGCTACCATTTTCAAATACACATACTGGAACAAAACGAAGAACAATTGGATCGAGCTAAAATGCTCGAGGATGACCTTCTTTCTTGAAGCAATAGCAAGATAACAAGTTATTCCACTGGGCATTAGTTAATGTAAATGAGAAAAAAAAGAACGAATGAAATAACAAATTTCCTATTCAGTCAAGTTTCTTCGAGTTTTCGAGCAAAGCCTGTAAAATGAGATCAGGAACATCCATCGTCTGATCCTCAACGAGAACTATATCGAATCCGTCAAGATAGGATTCTAAGAGATCATCAACCTAGAAAAAAAAACCGTTAAAGTTTGGTAAGGTGTGGAGTAATCTTTGGAAGGACGAAAACCAGTATAGGGTGCTCACTCTGCTATTTAGAAATCCAATCTTAAGCACAGTTCCCTTATGAGCAACGCCAACATCCATATGCAAATCGCCGAGGCTGTCACCAAGCAGTAATATGTTACCGCTGAAAGAAGTCATATGATCAGAACGAAGCTAAAAAAAGGCAATTTCTTTCAATACCGGTGCGCTATGTCATCGTAGAAAGGAGCGTCCTTGGGGATCACAGAAGCATCCTTACAGAAGACGTGAATTAGTGGTTCTGAACAGGCGCTCACAACTCCCTGAAAAATGGAGATGTCGCTCATCACAGTGTCAACTTCAATACAACCAGTCTTGCTGTTCTTCCGCTATCGGTTCATATAAAGAACTGCTCGATGTGCATTGATCAGTTGGCAAGGGACCGCTAGTGCCGCAGACCGGCTAGTTAGGGCGAACGCTTCGAGATGGAGCTCATCTACATAGAGATGCCATTGGTGAAAGGGCTGTGGGAGGCGATCTGACTACACCATAAAACGCATTATGGAGGAAGAGCTGGTCAAACAGCGATCAGCGCCCTTACACGAATGATAGCTCGGAATCCGCACGCCTCCCAGCCAACATGATGACTACTTTCGAAAGGAAATACATATAAAACATACTTCTTCATTGAACAATAACATGTTTGATATGATGTGTATATTTTCCGGTATATAGCCTAGTTGATGTCGCAGAAATACGTCTATGACGTTGCCAACACCAGCAGAAAACAGAAGCAATGGAATGGACGAGCTAGCAAGATGCTTGACAAGAGCATCTGCACCGTCTCTGAAAACTTCATATATTTTCTGTATCTGCTAAGTCTGTTCAGTGTAGCAAGAATAGTAACAGCACCTTAACTCAATTTTTGCACTCGCAACAAATTGTTCGATTTCCTCTCGATGGATTCGAAACTCTATGTACTTATCGTGAGCCTTTGTCCACCTAAAAGTAGCTATAACAGTTGCATGGTGCAATGCAGTCAACAGAAACTATTCTTACCATTCTATCATATACGGCAGTTTTTCCTCTCTTGTTAGTCTTGGATTATATTCTATGGCTATATACTTGGTATTTACCGCACGAATCTATAAAAAGCAACGGCTATTTCCGAAAAAAATAATCATTCACAGAATGGAGCATTTCTCCACTTGCATTCAAGTACTGCAGAAGGACCACTTCTCACAGTGTTCTCTCCTGGTAAGGCTCTTTATAGAATAGCATGGTGAAAAATGATAGGAAAATGAAAGCTAATTGGTCTACTAGAGAGGGAAAAGCAAAAGAAAGCGCCGGAACATCCTGAATCGGGCCTCTTTTTGCTTGATTGGTACCGCAATATGAGCATGGGCGAACAAGAACCAGATGTCCTGAAGACATGCGGCGAGAGAGCACAAGGAACAGCGAGACAACAGAGGCTAGCTCAAAGGAGGATTCTACGATAAGGACGAAGGTCGAAGAAGGGGCAACTTACCCCGTTGAAAGATTTCTTTCTTTTCTTTTTCATGTGCGTGTCGGTCCGTCCCCTTTCCAAGAGACAGACCGACACGCAATTTGCATCAAAAGATATGCTCATGGCGATCTAGTATGTCTTCCCCGCGGCCCAATTGGCGCGCTGTCGGCCCTACGCCCCCTCTCACATAGTCTCGTGTTTAGTCTCTTGCCGTTCAGCAGGAAGTGATGTTTTTGAACTATTGTGAAATGGGTACAGTACGTTGTACCAGGGATCACATGTTGTACCATAACAACATGAGATCACGCGATGTTTTGCAAGAGCGTGATCTCTGGTGCGAAGACGTGTGATCCCTGGATAGCCCGGATGGCTAGTCATCCAGGCTATTGCGCAAGCCAAGAGCGGTTTGCCCGCCCACCCACCCACGTAATTTCATATTTTGCAGCACCGAGATTCAAAGAAGCAGCAACGCTGGGGGTAAAGGCGGAACAGTTAGGAATGCTCCACATCAGTGATGCCATAATACATGCTGTCAACTCGGACAGGGCACCATCTACTATCAGAGTGTACACGTCGGAGATGCAAAAATTCCAAGCATGGAGGAGCAGCCCATATATGAGTAGGATTCCCACTCCACAAGCTAGGAATCTATACCTGGCTAAATGTTCGGCAGAAGGAAGGCATAGATCGATGCCCACAGTCACAGCGGCGCTAAACTACTTCTGCGGTCCACTTCTGGGAGTAGATAAGGAGATTCAAAATTCTCTTCTCCAGGCAGTCAAGCGATCCTTACCACCCGGGCAACATCGCGCTAAAATTCAGCCCAGGCACATGTCACGGCTGATACATTTGGGCATAGCAAGCAATGACCCCAAGGTTACGCAAGCAGCTGCACTAGCACTTATTCAGTTCAAAGCGCTGCTTAGAATCAGCGAGGCTCAGAACTTTGCGGTCGTCGGATGTCAAGCACATAGGTAACGGTGTATGGCATGTAAAAGTAAATAAGTCTAAGACAGACCAATTTTCAAAGGGAGCCACCATACCCTTCCGCTTTAGCGCTGAGGAAGCTCAGCTTTGGAGTAAGTATCTCATCTCGGTGGGTAATGCTACTTTCCTATTTCAGTCCGCATCTACGGGGCTACCCCTATCTAATTCTACTCTTCGGGATAGGCTTATGCATCTTTTTAGCAAGGCCAACTTGCGGCAGTTCAACCTAACGTCTCACTCTTTCAGAGGTGGGGCAGCCACGCAAGGCTCAGTGTGGGAGTTCATCAAATTGACGTTATGCAGGCTGGGCGCTGGAGGACACTTAGTGGGTTTCAAAACTACATAGCGAACCCAAAGAAGTCCTACCAATTTCTACATCTATCACTACTCATTGATACAATTAATGCCGCATGTACCACTTATGTAATCCTCTCTTTTTTATGCATCCTCATGTATAGGCTTTATGATGTGCCTTATGATCTCTTATTTGATCAAGTATTTTGGTATTACTCATCTATTATTTGTTATACGCGAAGTCTCTGTACACGCTTTGTATCACAGTAACGATAGCACATGCATTAATGAATTACATGCATAGATGTATATATCATATACCACGTACTTATATATGAATTGAACATGTACACGTATCCGCTCATGCGCAATAAACCTTACACCAACCCCGTTGAAGTTATGAACAATAGTTCAAAATGGGATTTATACCAGAGGTACGGAGGTATAAGTGTTAGCGTTGAAGAGCACCACCGATGAGAGTTGTATCAATGCGCAAACTAAGGGCAAAGAAGGAGGCATTTCTCAAACTCTTGGCCGTTTCTTCGTTTTTTCTTTCTTTCGTGCATCGCTGACCGTCTCTAACTTATTCTCGAATAGGCTGCTTCATCGTGAAATCCGCCTTTCAAGGAAAGAGTCGGGATCAATTAAGTGTGGTAATCGCACCCGAATACGAAAGTGGTGATGAAAGATGAACCATAAGTGGAGAAAAAGGAAGAAATGCCGTCAAAGAACACTGAAGATACGAACCTTCTTGCTCTACGCCGCGGAAAAGCCTAAGAGGAAGACAGAGAAGTAAGGGATGATGTGAGTCGCGGAAAGGAAGGAAGTTTACGAGTCGAGAGAGCACAGCTAATGAACGATATGACACACGATATAACATATCGAACGGTGGGCAGGTACGGTTCGACCAGGAGTCGGTGGATGAAATCGCAGGTGCTAGGCGCAAGTGAAGCGTTTCAAGGTTTAATCCGTCGCGACCTCTAGAGTTGCTGATCCAGCACCTCCACCCCGGACAGGGACCTCTTTACTAAGGCTGAGCCTCACTTTGCCTTTACGTTGCCAGGGCTGGTCCGGGTTTTGATTGGTGTTCCAAGCCAACGACACCAGTCTCTACTTCCTTTGTCACTTTTTTCGAATCGCGAAATCGGCATGAACGCAGCGGACTAGCCCAGCTTCTTAGAAGATCAGGAATCTTTAAAAGCGGGCTGCTATAGATATCGGTACTCCCTAAATCCAATGGAAATTGCACCGCAAATACACTAAACATAACAATTTGGGAGGATTAGACGTTCTCTCATTTCCACAACGGAATCAGTAGCTGAACCCGTTGCTGTCAGTAGTGACTCCGTTGAATGGAATGTGAAGGGCTCTCTCGGTAGTTGTTTCGCCTACAAGACAGGTCTCCATCCGGCTTGTTCGGCATATGCAAAATTGTTGCAGTGAATATACCTAGTACAATGATTCTAAGAATCGCCCAAACTGAGAAAAAACAAAGAGCAATTAATAAATCTCCCATAAACTCATATTCAAATTTTGACGACGAGAAACCTCAGCTACTTAGCGATCGCCATGTGACGCCAGCCCCTGCGGGTTCGATAGCAAGAGCGGAAGAAATTGCGGCTCAATTCGGAGCTATAGATTAAGTCAACAAACCTCTTCCTCGAGTTCTGGATGGAGCGCATAGAGAAGTTGGTTGAGGACATTATGACTACTGTAACATGGCATTCCATTGTGGTCAACAGAACGTGTCAAAGTGAAGTCAAAGTCGGATATTACCTTAACAGTATAACTGAAAACCAGCAGCCGCGATATTCCTCAGAAATGTCTTTAAATGACAAAAATCTCACCCCTAATTGGTCGTTTCCTCCTTTCAACATTTCAGTCAGTTTCTTCTTCACAACATTGCTGTCGCGAACTCTCACACTACGATGGCTTAATATGGTCTCTATCGTTTGCTCCATAACTGAAATTACTGAGGCTTCCCAGAGCTATGCCTCACCAAAAAAGCCACATGACAGAATTAATCAGCCACGTTCCTTCAGAACTGTTTACTAATGTTGGCTAACCCCCATAACAACCCATAATTCGCACCGCACGCGTCTTGGGCCTTTCGTATCGGCCGCAAGCGCAATACAAACTATTAAAGCTTCATGAAGCTGAAGTCGTGACCTCTATTACAATAAGTGAGCAGAATAAGTGATTAATGTTGCCATATACGATCCTTCTGAAACGAGGGGATTGAAGCAATGAAACATACGGTAAAGTATAACAACAATTTATTCGACCTAAAATAGCGCACAACACGCAAATTACCACATAAATTCATTGATCAAGTATTTTCAAAACAAATGTAAATAAAGTAGTATACATGTGAAATGGAATAAACGAAAAAGCGAGAGCATACATTCATAATAATCTGAACGCTGCATGATGCATGCCGACGTCGCGCAGCGCAATCAACGGATGGATGTCTGGGGAGCGACTATACACACTGCCGCGAAATCCACTTCAGTATGCATTGCGCAGGGTCCAACTTGATTCGACAGACATTAAAATGGTAATTAAAAGTAAATATAATTTCAAACTGCTGCAAATTTTATAATACAGTGTAAAAATGTAATAGCAAAAGTGCACCGATGAACAAACATGAAACGAAACACAATGATGAGCTTCTAAAAGTATTCTTATTTAATCAGTTATTCACCAAAGTTGAGATACTACCGTGTTCTTCACAATTACATAAAATACTAAGCCAAATCACTGTACCCTTTAAGTAGTAAGCCTGGTAATGTACGAAGAGTACCCGCAAATCTTGTCGTTTATGCAACGTAAACTAATAAATGTATCATGGGATCATTAGACATGTATTCAACATAAAAAGAAAGCGTGGACACATCTAACAAAAATCATACGAGGCTCGCAGTTCCTTGAAACTCTCAATGCTCTCCTCCGGACCGTTTTCGGCACACTTCCTAAGAGTAGCAGCAGTGAGAACTTTGACGACCTACACACAACGAAATGCAAACACTCACTTGTAGAAGAGCACAGCATTGGCCAAGTCCTCGGGTTTACTCAAATTGCTCACTTGTTGTTCGAAAATAAGTAGTGGTGGCTCGATCAACCTACGTTTTCGCTCCACGGTTTTCTGTAATAATTATCGTCACCTAGTTTGTTACCTCCCGGATTCATACCACAACTTTAAAGCCAAAACAAGATTAATGTGCTGCTGGAACGTGCCATGGGAGTCAAAGGGATTGAAGAAGGAACTCCATATCGTATCTACTCATATATAAAAATTTGAAGGGTGAAGAACTCGACCAGTAATTGTCAACTCTTTTGGGATGCGCCAAGCATTCCACTTGCCTTCAAATCCAAGTGGCATTCTGAGTACGATTTGGCCTATAGTTTCATCCGTCAGGACAATACTGCATCAAACAGCAGATCCCAGAGGGATAGAAGGCTTAGTTAGCCTGGACACAGTACCCCTAGCTAGCCTAGACTCCGGATTTGATCCTCGGCCCGTTCGCGTGGTAAACAGCGCTTAATCCCACCATATCACTTCCACCCTGTAAGCTAATGCTTAATCTGCTAGGTTGGAAAGAAAATTTGAAACACATAGTTGGTGCTGCTTTGAGTTCTCCCAAATGTGGACCTTCCCAGGAGTGGCTCGGAGTGTGAAAACTAGAGTTTGCGTCGATATGAAATTTATGGGGAAATAAAGAAGTTTTTGGAGCTGTGACGGCAACATGCACTGGCGATGCCTGCCTGCTGCAGTGACTATGGAAAGCGCTACCCACTGCCAGCTGCATGACACAGTCACAAAAAACTTCATGGTAAACGGCCACGAGTCAACTTGCTTTACAAGAACGCGCTTCCACAAGTCTACACCTCACACCTGCAACACTGATCACCGCTACCTTGAACTCCAATGGACTACCTTTTCATCGCCTCTAAGAAACATATAACAAATGGGAAATAAAAAAAAGAAATTCCAGTAGGTTCTGGGGTGTTTCAAAACCTTATTTTCAACCTAATATTATAACCGTTCTATTCCAGAATCTCAACAACGCATCCACAACAAGAGTTGTTTACCAAAAAATACAAGTCCTGAGAAATAGTAGTAGAAGTAAAATTACGGAATTATAAAAAAAAATAAAATCTCACCACGTTCGGCATCACAGGTTCCTTTTTGTGAAGGACTGAGAACAGCTGCGCCTCCATTTTATCTTCTTCCAAGTCAGTATCTGTTGGCTCAGCAAACTCATCGTCGGTCTCTATTACCTTCAAATGTGAGATTACCAGTTTTTGTGCAACCACTTCAGTTTATATCACTTACGTCCTAATATTCAAAAATAAAAAAATATTGGAATATGTGCGAGCACTTTCTTTCGCAAAAAGTATAGAAGATGATTAATTAAGTACAAACGATGTTCTTGAAGCAACAAGTGAGCTTGTGTCAAAGAATCCTATTCTGGTGGTGGGATAGAGAAGCCCACGAGTATCACACATGTGTCGTTGTCGCGGCTCGAATGTGCGACAATGGCGCTAGGGCCTTACAAGTCTGATGGCGACTAATGTGAACTTGTGGACGAGATCCCTCACGCACACCCCGTGACAGTGTAAATTACGGCGCAGCGGCGAACACAAATTCGAGCAGGTAAGTGGAGTCATGGACCAAGCAGGCAGGAACTCGTCCGAACATAATGACTTGATCGGTTTGCTGCAGTTCTATTTTTCATTTTAAATCGGTCCGCATTCACAATTTCATTGTAGACCCACCAATTTGAACTCAGGTTGTTACTTTAAACATAACAGCAAAAATATCAGAACCAAATTTATACAGGGTGGGGCAAAATTACTGGTGCACCTATACGTTTTGAATTTTTTAACACTTCTTGGAGATTTTCCTGTTTCACTCGCTTGTGATATGTTGCCTGGAGGTTGCGTAATTCCTACGTACTCGAATACAAAATGGTCCGTCGTTCTGACCTACGGAGCGCGATCATCAAACTTCACAACGACGGCAAGCAAACAAGAGAAATTGTGAAGATCCTTTCCGTACCTCGAA